GCTAAGCATTCCTTGCTTACTTATCAAACAACCACCCCCAGCCCACTTGGCAGACAAAAAATAATGGATAACTCTAATGTAACAATTGATTTGAGAACTCCTTGTACACTACCATTACAACAAAGCATATTAAACAAAGGGAAAGAAAAGCAGATACTCAATTTACCAGAGAAGATAGTGATGATTTATACTTATCGTGAATATTTGATCACTAGAAGATTACTGAATAAATTGCCAGGGGAAAAACACACGTATTTGATGATTTCAAGTTCTCAGAAGTGAAGAGATGTACAGTTAGTTCACATGAAATTTGCTCACCAAGACTTTTGCTCTGGAGATTGATTTTGTTTTTGAGTCAATTACATAGATCTCCTCAAAATCCAGAGTAAATTCTGGGTCACCCAGCCGGCGATTCCTGTAATGCTTTGTCAGGAAAACCTGCAACAACAAATTGAGAAGAAATATTCATTTCGACTAAAAAGAAGCACCAAAGTCATCCACTGCGAGCCAACCAAACAGTCATGTTGAACATATGTTTAAGAGCCCTCTTGCAAACCATCCCATCTTTAAAATATGCAAATGCATCTGTATAACTAATCTTTCTCGAACCCAGCTTTTAAATTAAGCCCCTGTTTGGTGAGGATTCAAATCAGATTTTTAGTAAATTTTGATAAAAGTTGATGAAATGTGTGATTGAAAAGTTGTGGTCCATGAAATGTGTGGTTAAAATTAACACATGCCAAGTAACGAGATTGAAAACTTCATAAATTCTTAAAATGATTTTTCACAAAAAGAGACTAAAGAATGTTATAAGACCTTTAAGACTTCTTTCTCAGATTTGTACATCGGATCTCTAGGGGCATCAATGGGTGGCTCTGTCACATTGTAGCATCCATAATCGCTTTGTGCACATCGAATGTACTGCAATACCAGTAGAGACATTAAAATTATCAAAATATACAAACACAAAACTCAAATAAACACAACTATCTTAGAATATTAAATACAAGAGAACACAACTTTTATAAATTGATTCAAATAGTCCATATTTATTTCATAGATTATGTTTGGGGGCATACCTTTTGAGGCATTGGTGCGAGAACCTTTGGAACAGCATATATATCAGTATCTGGGGGTGTAACATACATCTACAAACAACGAAAACACTGTTACATCAACATGTAACTCCAGGTTGAATATACAGAAACAAAAATTAAAAAGGTTAAAAAATGAGGAGGGAACAATTCAACCATTTGGTTACTCCGAAGATATAAACGAATTTTCTAATTTCAAATGAAAATTTCTCTTACATCCTTAATTAATTATTAGCATGAAACCATTGATGCTTTTAGTTTCAATTTTTTTCATCCAACTTCTAAATAAATTCAAGAAATCAATCAACTTCCAACCTAAAGATGAAAAATGCTTAAATTTCTACATTGCCACACTAAGCAACTACTTAGCAACTCAACAGATAAACATAGGTGTAACCTAGAAAGCAGAAGATACAACACAACGCCGCACATACACAATATAATAAAGGTTAAAGTCATGTTTGGTTAAGCTTAAAAAATTTACTTGGAAGTAGGGGTGGACGTGGTTCCATTTGGTTCTAGTTCCAAGAGAACTGAACCGAACCATGAACCAATGATTTTTTTTTATAATGGAACCAAATAGAATTTTTGAAGATGCGGAACCAAACCGAACTGACCCATTTGATTCTGGTTTGGTTTGGTTTGGTCTGGTTCTAGTACTATTACTTAAATTTTCAAACTTGCATAAGAAAATAATGGGTGTGTTTGACACTTATTTTTTGAAAATAAAAATTTTTAGAATAGTGATTCATGGGAATGTGTGGTGGAAAAGTTATGAAAAGTTTTAGATTTGTGTGTAATATTATTTTATTGAAAAATGTGTGGTTAAAATGAAGTAAGAGAAAAAAATGAGAATGAGATACAGAATGGGTGCCAAACATGGGCAATATTTGTAGTCTACTCTAACTTTTTTTTTTTTTTTT